ATTCATCCTATTCCTTCAGTCCACTTTTTGTACTAGAATTGAAATCGATACGCATAATCCAAGCCTATGAGTGACCCGATCAGGCAAATATCTAAAAGTGTTATCTACCTCCGTCGATCACCGACCTGACTCACGAAATGAGAACCTACCGATGAGTGCTTGGGAGACTGTTTATTTAAATTTGTTAATAATTAATTAATTAAGTTATACGCTGCGTGTAGAAGAGTGAATTTTCGAGGATTGTTCTAAAACGAACAGAAAAAACGCTGACACCAACTTTAAGAGATGAGCCGGTAGAAGTTTCAAAAGTATCGCAAGCTGTCCATGCGTCTGCTATATATAAAGAGAGAACAATAATCACCCATCAACATCCATCTGCAGGTTCAGATATAATGTTAATAAAAATTCACTATAAAACATTCATGCACTATCATAATCATCCAACCCAAAGCAAGAAGACATCCACCAGCCAGCAAAACCACCATGGATCATCGATCAGCAAGGACAGATGTTGCCTGAGATTTTGTACATATGTACCTCGTGGCGGAGGAGGAAGATGAGGAGGAGGCACGGCACGGCCTCCCTAGTGCGCACCCTCTGTCTCTTTTGTGACTTTGCTCTATTTGGTCTGAGAAGATACGTGACTACGGTAAGAAGTAGAAGTAGCAGAAGCGGGAGCGCTAGAACACCAGTACGTAATAGAAATAAGGGGTCTGCCGGGTACACAACGTGTCTAAATATCGAACAGACCGTAAACAATCAACCAATCATCATAAATACAACTAACAACGGTTGCTGGGCGTTTCGTCGTCCACCGTCAATCTAACGACTTACTTTACTTCCACGTTCGTTAAATATTATCTCTGCTGCGAGCACCGTTCCAAACTTCTAAAAATACCAATGTCGTTAATCAACTTTATATATACGTACAGTAAGCAATGACCCATTTTATTCCCCCATAACACGTACCGCAAACATCGCTCTCAGATCCGGTTCTCTGAAGCGAAACGGGATGTTTGAGACGTGCAGCCGTTTGGCTCCTTCCGGCATTTTGCCAGCCTGCAACTCGGCGATTGCGCCACCCCCAACACTTGTTGAGCCGTTGGTGGTAGCAGTGGTCCCGACTGCCGCAGTAACCCCCGAAAAGCTGTTGTTCAACGAGGTTCCGTCGCTGGTGCTAGCCGCTGAGTTCGACATCAGCGGCAGCTGAGGTCCAATTACCGCGCCGCTCCCGCCGGCCCCCTGGGACACAGTTCCAGGGGCCGTTGCACTCGACGCGACGGTCATCTGCTGACCAGAATCGATGGAAGCGGCGACGGACGCTGTTAGAGCATTGTCCAATGTCGAATTCAGATCATTCTAAATCAAAAAATAACTTGAGGGCAGTCAAAATGACATAGAAATAAAACATTTACACGTAGCAGTGTATATATGGTGCCTGTCAATAATATGGGATCTAAATACGTGCAAAATAATACGAACTAATAAGGAAACAAACACATCACAAATCCACAGCTGACAGTCTTACGATCAGATAGGGAAAAAAACGAGAAGCGTGTGGGCCGTGGAGAGGACTCCGTAAAACTTAGCCTCCGGTGGCTCCTGCTACTGCACTCTAATATTATACCTGTTCGGTAGTCGCCTGGGGTACCCTGCTGTTGCGGAACCGAAGCAGACTTCGAAAATTCGGAGACTACTTCTTCACCGCCTTCTTGCAGTCGGGGGCGTAGCAGCACAACAACAGCTGACGAAGACCGACGGAACGACGACGAAGATACCAGTCAGCAACGGAGTCGCTACCCGTTCTGAACGGAGGAGGCAGACAGCGCGATGCCATTATAGCACGTCAGAAAAGTTCCACGAGAACGACACCGCCAGTGGGAGTTTACAGTCAGAAATTGGAATATGTCTTCACTCAGAGGGAAAGAGCAAAGTTAGTTGATGAGGCCATAAAGTACTAACTCGACATTGTTAGACCCTCGTCAACGAAGTGCCAAGACTCTGGAATCCTGAACCTCAGCTGGTGAAAGCTGTTCTACTCAGGTGCAGATATCACGACCTGTGCTTAGACCGGTGTTGGCGTCCTGGTAGAACCTACTTTTGTGCATACGACGTCAAACGCACAAAACGATCTTGCGTAAATTACGGCAGTGTTCATTATGAAAGACTATTCTTTTCGTTTTTCTGTTCATTTGGTGACAACTGACAAAACGTAACGTTGCATGTCTACAGTACATGGAACTGTGCACTGCAACACAAGCAGTTACATAGAAACAAGTACATACTTTAATATTTGCAAAAACGTGTGGCAGTTCCCAAGGCAAAAAGTGATATCAGTGCGAGGGGTTCTACCCTTATCCTCCCAGCGCCACCCTTACATCAGACACCATATGACATATATCTAATACAACACCATTTCTTTCAATTTGAATAAATGATATCCAAAGGAAGTAATGATGGAAAATTCCAACTATATCCTTTTTGTCTGCATGGTCTAGGTAGACGGTTTCTGAAAATTTCCCGCTTCTGGTATGTTGTTCCAGTAGAAGGCTCACGAAAATAAACTAGCGTTTCGCCAAGCCGCTCGCCTTTCTTGAACCTATGTCCTGCATCCTTGGACTTGGTCTGTATTCTTCCCTTGACTGCATTTTGAACTAAACCATGTCCGTTGTGTTTATACCTCGTGCTGCACGTTGAATAA